ACCTCTTGGCAGAATCTACACTAGGCTTTCCCTGCGTCCTCTTTCAAAGTCACAGTTCTATTAAAAACAATCTGAAACATACACAAGTAAATTAAACTCATGCAGAAATAAATCAGAGACAAATTTAAAAAAAAGTGTTGTGTTAGACATAATTTTGCATACCTGGGATGAGGTAGAGTCTGGGTCAACTGAGAAGAAGCCAATTCTTTCAAATTGGAATTTATCATACACTTTGGCTTTAGCCAGGGACACATCTCCAAGAGCCTGCATGATTCTCAAGGAGTCTACATTACAGTCAGATAAAAATCCGTTAGGTACTTCTTTTGGATCTTCTGGGTTCTTATGGTTGAACCTAATAATGAGAAGTATAATATTCCATGAATAAAACTTTAAAATTTTGTGAACAGAACAACATTCAGTAGGAGAAACAAACACTCACAGTCGCTCATAGAGTCGAACCTCAATATTAATGGGGTTGGACACCCAATGAATGAAGGCCTTGGGTTTGTTGCTAGTTTCAGCAGGAGCACATGTTGCCCTGAGTTCCATAACGTCACCACAACGCCCGCGCAGCACTTCTGTCACACTGATGACGTACCCTGAGTGGCGCAGTCCAACAGGCTGGTCAGGAGCCAACCTTTTGTAGCCTTTCTCAAGTACCTGCCAAAATATATTTCAAAATAAACTGCATACTATATGAATCACAGCATGATGGAGCTACTAGTATTCTATTTTGCCCACCTCTTTGAAGTCATCGTGTTCAATAAATATTTCTGGCCCAAAAGGAATGGTATGCTTTTTGGAATCAGGATCTGCAGGATAATCAGGAACATCAACTTGCATACTTCCAGGGTGGTTTGTGATGATAATTCTTAGAGGGTCTAACACAGCCATGGCTCTAAATGCAATGAAAAAAAAAATCAGTTATGAATTAGAGTAAGTATACTAAAAAAAAGTCAGAGATTCACCAATTAAAAAAACAACAACACAGGTGTGTGTTATTAAATGTTTGTATACCGTGGAGCTGTGACATTCAGAACATCACGAACACATGCTTCAAGCATGTGAGGATCAACAACCACTAAACTGCCAGTCAAACCCATCTGAGCACAGAAATTATTGATTGCGTCCTTGGGGAAACCTCTACGACGCAGAGCAGTGAGTGTAAAGAGACGGGGATCATCCCAGTCTGAAAGCATGAAAACATGTGTTATGGGTAAAGCTTGTAATATTTTAAAAGCAAACATGTCACTGTATTTGACTTACCAGCAACAATTCCTTCAGTAATCAATTTTGCAATTTTTCTTTTGGAAACTACAGTGTAATTCACATTTAACCGGCCATACTCCCACTGTACAGGACAGTATATATCTAAGGCATTGCAAAGCCAATAATAAGAGGACCGCCTGAAACAAAAATACTGGACCGTTACAAGGCAAATAAAAAAGGCATATTAGGCAGGTAAATGAAACACCTTTCATACCTATTCTGGAACTCCTTTGTACACAGAGAATGAGTGATGTCTTCAATTGAATCACAAAGGCAATGAGTATAATCATATGTAGGATAAATACACCATTTATCTCCAGTGCGATGGTGGGGCACATATTTGATGCGATAAGCAACAGGATCCTGTTTGCCCTCTTCAAGTGTCACTTTCAGGCGGAGGGTGGCTTCTCCTTCTTCTAGTTTTCCATTTTTCATGTCCTACAATATTATATTCTCTTATAATCTGAATTAAAAACTATTAAGTAGACTAATATAATATGAAAGACTGACTTGAAAAAGTTGTAAGCTTTCAGCAATTGGACGGTCTCGCCATGGTGAGAGAGGTGCGTCAATACCCTTGACTTCTTCTGCTGTTTGATGACACACATATGCTTTATCCTCCTTGATAAGCTGGATAGCCCAAAGATAAAGCTGTTCAAAGTTATCAGAGGAGTGTGTAATTTTGGTTGGCTTGTAGCCTGGAAGACAAAAGAGACAAAAGACGGCATGGAGACAATAGATAGTTACAAATAGGTAGTCTACTCTCACATGATAAGCATGATAAGCACATGATACCTAATTCATCAAAGCCACCAACTTAAACATTTATTACGATCTATCACACATACCTAGCCATTCAACCATGTTTTTGATACCAGTGAAAAATTTCTCTTCTTCTTTTTCAGGATTTGTGTCGTCATAACGTAGGTTACATTCACCACCCCGTGAAATAGCATAACCAAAATTAATATTGATGGCCTTTGCATGACCAATGTGTAAAATACCATTAGGTTCTGGTGGAAATCTTGTAATAACCTTACGTGTGAACATGGAAAGAAACAATCCAATTCATAAAATTACAATTACAAAACTTGACAATAACATTAGTTAAATACAAGAGATAAAGGCTTACCTTGCCACCAGTCCGCTTCAAGTGTTCTTTAAGACGTTGCATGGTGTTGGGAGTTACAACATATCCATCAGTTTTGAAATTTTCTCCTGGTTTGTGGAAATTTACTTTTCCTAATAACTCCACCATTGTAACAGGACCAGATGAGGCTAAAATGTAGATCAGAAAATTAAAATTGGCATACCAATAGATTTGAGTCAAAAACTCTATTTAATACTTACTGACTGTTTTGTCATCCTTGGCACTTGTGTCCTTTGAACTTGATTTTGAGTCTTTTGGAGCCTTTGATTTTTTTTCAGTTTTGTTTGTTGGTGCTGGTGCCAGATCTGCTTCAGTTTTAGGTCCAAGTAAGTTCATCACCTAAAATTTGAGGGTGGAGGAGGAGTTACAACTTAAATAAAACATCCAATAAATTTGTCTTTGGGTTTTAGATTTTTAAAATATACCATAAGATCCATTTCATTTTTCACAGCTTTTCCATCAGCCCATTTTAACTCATTTCTGACTGCCTGCATGAGAGGAAAATAATTAAACCTGTACCTGTTGGCGACAAAAAATTATAAATTAATTTTTATAAATTCTTGCATCGTCACAGATAATTTAAATACAAAACCTATAACTTAAGGCCATCTGAGAATACCTCTTCTCAAGTAGCTCCTGCTTTGACAAGTTAATTTGCTTTTCAACAGCACGTTCAATGTCCTCAGCAGTAATTTTGACACCAACACCACATGCTGACTCAAATTCAGCTGTGTTAAAAGTGCCCTGAAGATGAGACATCAAGTAATCCAGAGCAGCTGAAAAAATAATGCTGTTTTGTTTTCAATTGACAAGGGGTTTAAAGCTCATCAGAAAAGCATATTACACTTGAGCTATTGCTACTGATGCTCTACATCTTCCTTACCATCTACTCTAAGTGTAGAATCAAGCTTCCCTTGTGAAATATATTTGGCAACCAAAGGGAAATACTGTGCTGCCTGAGGTTTAGCTTTTGATGCGAGGTGGTAGAGTAGAGTTCCGACACCATTGTCTTTCCAAGCTGTAAAGTCGCTTTCAGTTTTACCCTAGAATAAAAAATGCAATGTGCACAGGACAATATTAAAAACAAAAGTGAAATGTGGAAGCAACCAGAATTCAACGAGTAAGTTACAGACAGCAAGCAATGCACTCATCAGCAGAAGTGACATATGTGATACACATAGTGATGCAATATAGCTGGTTATTGGTCCTTGAGTAATGACAATGAGCAATATAGTAAACCGTTTCACAGAGAAACACAAACCGTACTGAGACTAATATAACACAGAAGTTTTTACTCAGTAAATCAAGGGGAAAACCCGGCATCTTGAATGGTTATGAAGGTTATACATACCGCAGCTATAGCTTCTTTCAGGTAATTTTTCAAGACTACATTTTTTAACGTTTCTTTCGCTTTCTGTTCACTTAAACCAAGCGATACAAATAACTGGACATCTGTTTCATTGTCCGTCATTTCAAAGACCTAACGGATTAATCCAGAGTGCGATAAAGACGGTGTGTGCAGAAAGGATTTGCCACCGCACCGAACACTTGTTCCAAATGCTGACCAATTTTCCATACTGCTCTCGCCCCCCC